ATTCCCACATTTCCATCCTTTTTCCATTCTGCTCTTCTGTATTCACTCTAACATCCACCCCTACCTGCTTTCTTGCTCTTTCTCAAGAAGACATTCCATGCTTTTGCCCTGGCTGTTCTCATGCCTGGGAAGCTCTCCCACCCCGCCTCTGGCTCTTAAAGTGCCTGGCTTCCTTTAAGATGCAGAATAACTGCAACAACCGCAGTCATAGCTAGCCTTCGTGTGGCTCTTTCTAGTCAGCGGAAACACTTCCCTTATATTATACCATTTGGTCCTCATAACAAACCTATGAGGTGGGTGCTATTGTTACCATTTTTCATTTAAGGAAACTGAATCCCAGCGAGGTGGCGTCCCAGCATCCAAAGCGGGTTCAAACTCAAGTCTTGCCGACCTCGGTCTAGCCCTCCATCCAGCGTGTGGCCCTGCGGCTGCAGGCCCACGTCCTCCAGAGTCCTTGTCCCTGGCTTTCCCTTCTTCCTTCTGCTCTTGAAACGGCTCTCTTTCCACTGTACTTGTCACCTTCAAGCACCCGGTCCTTCTCAGCTTCCCTCGCACGGATGGGGAGAGCTCTTGTGTCCTTGCATCCCAACAGGCCTGGTGGAGAAGGACAGCTTTGGCTCCCAGCTCTGACAGACCGCCAAGGCTGCTAGGGCCCAGAGGCCCCCTTTCACCTATGCCTTTGCACCTGGCCCTCTGATCTTTCTGTTGCCTTCTGTGATGAAACATCTCCTGTGCCCCAGTGCGTGTCTCCTGAGATTTCTGCCCTGGGAATGGTTCTCAGACCTGACACTGGCAAGTGGAGTCCCTTCCATCCGACAGGCCTCATTTTACATCTTCCCTTCAGTAAAAATCATCATAGGCCACACAAATCCCACCAGGTGCACAACCACTGTAAGCATGAAAGATAAAACATTCATTAATTTACATCTAGCATCACGACAAGTAATTTTCTTATACGCACAGGCCACATATTTGTTGAGTAAAAGAATGTAAGACCAAATACACACCTGTTGAAAAGTAGGTAGCATACTGATTTTAGAGTCAGAGGAGATGGTTTTCAGTCGCCTTCCTGGAACTTAGTACTCACCTGAGCTATGATCATAGAACACAGATTTAGAGCCAGAAGTGACTTTAGAGGACATTGAGTCCCTCATTAAACAGATGAGGAAACTGAGGCCCAGAGCTATGAAGTAATGTCTGATACAGATGAATCCAGTTGTCCTGACTCCCTGTCCAGTGCCATATCCACTGAGCCACACTGCCTCAAATCACTTACATTCTCTGGGCTTCAGTATCCTCATCTCTGAAATAGGGGTGGGTGGGGGTGGGGTTTGCACTAGATGACCTTTGAGGTACCTTGCAGCTCTGTATCCTTTATACATAGAACATATCTGTCTATCTATCTGTCACACATAAACCAGTCCGCGTGTGTATATACTACATATACATTGGAACCCAAGCTGGTCCTGCTTCCAGGGCCACTAGACGAGTATGTTAATGATGTTGAAAAGACATCTGAGTCCTTCCCAGCCCCTCTATGTGACTAGCCTACCAGCCTGCAAATACTTGTCCCTTCTTTCAGCCATGGTAATCCTAATTGGCTTTGGGAATGTTCTCAAGGGAGAAATTCATTTGGTTCAAGATTAGGGGTTATCTATAATGCTAGGCCCAGGCTTAGACCTCTGTGACCCTGTTCATCCCACAAAGAAAATATTTGAGGAAAAAACCAATGAATCATTTGAAAAGTATTTCTTAAGCCCTTGCTTAAGTACCTTAAGCTGGTACCTTGCTAAGTAAGGGTTGAGGATCCAAATACAGAAGTGAAACTGTCCTGGCTCTTAAAAAAAACCACTTTCTAATGGGGTAAACAACACACACGTATGTCAGCATTGAGGGACTGTATACAAAAGGACCAGTGCTCCAAACGAACATCTAACCCCCGAATTCTGGTTACCCCATAAATTCTCGCTTGACCTGGCCTGGCTTTCTGCTTATCACAGGATGGAGGCTTCCTGGATCTCTCTAATGTTCTCTGATCACTACCACTCACATCTATCCAATAACAAAAGCATCAGGAATTACATTTATAGAATATTTCAAAGTTTCCAAAGTCCAAGGAGTGTCGCTTTTCATTCCCAGAATTCAATTCCTTCATCTGTAAAATGAGACGTTAGATGATCTCTAAGTACTTTTCTTAGTACAAATCTTTGATCCTACTAAGTGAGACAAAAACAGGATCAAGTGTCTCCTTTTTCAGGTTGATTTAACAAATTATGAATTGTGAAAGATCTGCTTCCATCAGCTTTACAGAACACTGAAGTCCTCTCCTCCTTGTACCCAAAGGGGTGAAGCTAATGGTGTGGCCTCGAACAAGTCACCGTATCATGTAACGGTGTAGCCTTGACCAAGTCAAGGGATCCCATGAACAACGTCTGGAGAGAGACAGTGAAGGGTAGCAGATCGCCAGATGGCCTTGGAGACAGGAGGACCTGGCTTCTTCGAACTGTGGATTCCTTCTTCTCCTCAATACTCTCTTTCTATAGATTTTGTGACACTGTGCTTTCCTGGTTTTTCTCCCCCTCAGTCTCCTTTGCTGGATCTTCTTCCAGGCTGAACGTGCCAATCTTGGGTATTCCGCAAGGCTCTGTCCAGGATCCTTTTCTCACTATCTGTTATCTTTCTTGGTGATCTCATGGGCTCCCATGTATTCAATGATCACATCTATACATTTGATTCTCAGATCTATTTGTCCAGCCCTAAACTCTCTCTTAACCTTCAGTCTTGCATCTCTATGTGTCTATGAGTAGGAGAAATTTATCAAGTTTCATTTTTTAAACTCTTCAAATCCAGAAAGCCCTCATTCCCACCGATGCGGTGACAAGCCCTAATTTACTAAGCTGTCTTCTATCTCTGAATAGACGATTTTGTAACTCATTACACTGGTTATGGTCTTACTCTTTTTCAGGAAAATTATATCCTGACCTCCAGTCTTACCTCACCAGCAATTGCCTATTGGGCATCTCACACTGAATGTCCCATAGACACGTCCAAAACTGAAGTCGGTATCTCCCCAACCCTCTTTTCTTTTGAACTTTCTTTTGGACGTTCAGGGTACCACCACCTTCCCCATCAGCCAAGGGGCCATCCTTGAATTCTCACTGTCCCCGCATCCAGTCTGTTGCCCAATTCTGTCAATTTGCCTTTGAAACATCTCCCCTCTATTGGTCCTTCTCTCTTGGGACACCGCCTCCACTCCAGTACAAGCCCTCATAACTTCCCGTTTTGGGCCACTGCAATGGTGTGCTGACCGGTCTTCGCCTCCTCTCTGCCCACTACTGTCTATTGCCCACTCAGCTGCCAAGGTGATTTTCTTAAAGTGAAGGTCTGACCATATCAACCCTTCACTCAGTAAACTCCAGAGGCTCCCTGTGGGCCTCAGGATACCTTGTAAAAAGCTCTGTTTGGTGTCTCAAGCCTCTTCAATCTGCCCCCTTCCGGCATTTCCACTCTTCTCACACTTGACTGGCCTCCAGGCACTGCATGAGCCAGCCCCACTGGCCTGTTTGCATCTCTTCCTTCACATCACCTCTCCCAGTTTAGAGCCTTTTCACCATCTGTCACCCATTTCTGGAAAGCTCTTCCTCCTGACCCTTGCTCCCGGCTTTTTTCAAGGCTCAGCTACAATCCCACCCTCCGCAAGAAGACTTTCCAGGACCCCTCAGTGCTGGTCCCTTCCCCTGAGAGTCCCTCTAGTTCACTCGGTGTATGTTTTCAGATGTACGTGGTTACTTGCACTTGGATAGTGAGCTATTTGAGGGCAGGCTGGTTTGCCCCTCCCCCTCCCCTTTGTTTCCCAAGTGCTTAGCCTAGCGTCGGCACCGGTAAGTTCCTCGTGATCAGTTGTTGATTTGGCGGCTGGACCTTTGACAAGCCTTGCTCGAGCTCTTTGTCGAGAGCCCCGGAGGCGGCTTTCTGAGCCTCCAGGCTGCAAAGCTTGCGCTCATTTGCATCTCCCGGGGAGTTCCTTCTCACATCGCAGGTTCGATGCCAAGAAGAGAAATCCTCAGCAGTGTGCGCTTGCCCAACATCAGAAGATGGGGTCTAGGGCCCGTGGAGGCTGGGAACAGCTGCTCTTAGGAGTCTGTACTATTTTCTGCTGGTTAAGCCAAGAGACCGAATCAGTAATAACCGACATTTCCAAAGCACTTCAGGGCTTGCTAATTGCTCTTACGGGATGTTCTGTATCCTTCCCACCAACTCCTTGCACAGATGAGGAAATCGAGGCGCAGAGAAGTTAAACGGGTCTATCCCAGAGCCGGCCCCGGGGGGATTTCAGCCTGGTCTCCTTCCTGACCCCCAGGTCCTGCGCCTTTTGCCCTGCACCCAGTCGTGGGAACTGGACCACCTGTCAATTTCCAGACTTTACTTCCTTTGGGAATTTTATATTGGTCAGATCGAAAGCCTGAATTAAATCCTTGAGAAGGGCAGTGCTGGGGATTAAGTCTCCTGATCGAGGGATTAGAAGACTCATTTGTTTCCCTGGGGATTAAGGTGAATTTGAGCTCGCAAAGCCGCCCTCCTCCACGCAGGGGGCCCGGCTCAGGATTTAAACAACTTCACCTTCCTCTCCATCCCATCAGATCCAGCTGTCAATCACTTCCTCGCTCTCCAGCCTGGCCCCGCCCCCAGGGAAAGACCACGCCCCCAGCTCGCGCTCTACCCCAGCGCCTCCCGCTTCTCCTCCAGGCCCCGCCCCCAAACCCAACGGTGGGACGCCCCTATAGGCCTAGAAGTTGTTCTGGTCCCGCCCCCTGGAAGGCGATAGGTCGGGCCTCCGTGAAGCGGCGGTGGTTGGCTGCCCGGCGACGGGTTCCTGGTCGTGCCTGTCAGAGCGGCTCGCGGCCGTGGCGGCTCCTCGGCCGGCTTGTCTGTCAGTCAGCGGAGCGGGGACGATGGCTTGCGGGGAACCCTGGTAGCGGGAGGGCGGGGGGAGCCGCCGGAGGAGGAGGAGGAAGGGTCGAGGAGGAGGGCGGGCCGGAGCCGCTGCGACGGAGATCCCCCGGGATCGGGGCGCTGCTCTGGTGAGGGGGGCGCGCGGGGGCCGAGGCCCCAGGGCCCAGCCGTGACTAACGGCTGCCGGGGCAGGCGGGGCCGGGGGCGGGGCTGGGACGGGGCGTGGCGCGTGCCTGGGCCGGGGGGCGGGGCCGAGCCGGGAGCCGTGGAGGTGCGAGCGCCCCCCATCCGCCCGCCCCGTCCTCCTCGAGCCCCCGCCCCCTCCGACTCCCCTTTCCTTGACCCCTGCCTTCCGCAGTCTTTCCCTTGACCTCCCCGACCTCCTTTGACCCCACTTGTGCTCCCCTGACCTCTGCCTAAACTCCTGTCTTGCTTGACCCCTTCCCCTTGACCTCCCTTGACCCCTATCTCCCCTGTTCTTTTTTGACCCCACTTATCTTCCCTACCCTTGCCTAAACCTCCTGCCTTGTTTGACCCCTACCCTTGACCTTCCTTGACCCTACCCCTGACCTCTGCCTAAACTCCTGCCTTGCTTGACCCCTTCCCCTTGACCCCATCCTGACCTGTACCTAAACCTCCTGTCTTGCTTGACCCCTTCCCCTTGACCTCCCTTAATCCTCTTGACTTCCCACTGAGCTGATGCTCTCCCTGGTGCTTCCTCATCCAGCTTCCACACCGAGATCCCTGCTACCCCCTGTACCCTTGGTGAGAAAAGATCCTTAACGCGCTTCCTTGACACTTTGAATGAACTCTGCCCAGTGTCCCAGCCAGAGAGAGACTCCGACCCTCTCCCCTTCCTTTAATCTCTTACTGTTGTCTCTTAAGGATTATACACCCACCCCATGGAAGCTCCCCAAAAGCAGCAGATGTTGTGTGTTTGCTTGGTTTCTCAGGCAACAGACATATACTAGGTGCTTAATAACGTTCTGGGTCTTGGGTTTGAATCACAGCTCTGAAACCTTACCCCTGCATGTAATTTTGGGAAAATCACAATGTCTCAATTTCCCTGTCTTTGAGGTGGGGAGTGAGGTGGGTTCAGTGACCCCTAAGGTGCTTTCCAGCCCTACCTCTGTGATTCTTTGAGTATGAAACCAGCTGATTTTTGTTTCTTGAGTGGCTTGTCTGAAGGTAGCCTCTTAGAATGTGATAACTATAAAGACTCATGGACTTAGAGCTGGAAGACTCATCTTGGCCAAAGCCTTTATGAGGCCCACAGAGATTGAACTTGCCCAAGGTTAGGCTGTAACTGAGATGGCATTTTGAACTCTGAACTTTTGATTCCGAAATGTATTTGAGGCCCCCTCATTTTACAGAGGAAAGAGGAAGAGATTTGCCTGTAGTCACACACTTAATGGCTGATTCCAGACTTGAATCCAGGTCCTCTGATTACAAGGGCAGTAGGTTTTTTGCTTTGCACATGGCTTCCATGGTTTCTCCCAGTGAACCCTTCGAATTGTTCCTCTCCCAGGATCTGACATGACTGCAGAGTCATAGATGAAGATCTGGAAAGGACCTTAGAGGCCAGTCCCCTTGTTTTATGGGAGAGACAAGTTAAGGGACTTTGTACCGAATTAGGCAATAAAGGGCACAAATGAGTCCTTGCATCCCCTAATCTGGAGACTTTATTCCCCAATACTGCCATTTTCATTGGGAATTCCAACCCTCAGACTCCAAATTCAATACTCTTTTCATGGGAGTTTCAGGATTTTAACTTGAAAATTTTAATAGATTAGCAGTATTTTAGAATTGTATGTAAGTACATTGCATTCAGATCACCTTCTATACTTACAGTCTTTTTCAGGGTGGAAATGAGAATAGTTACATTAAGCAGAATTCCATTTTCCTTGGCCAGTAGAGTGTAACAACTGACAATACCTCCTCAGAGAGCACCAGTTGGTTGATCCAAGGAGATGTTTAGTGGGGAAGAGCACTGTCACTGGGTCTGAGGTCCCACCTCTGACACTTTAGGGCCACTTGTGTGCAAGTGACTTACCCTTCTACACAAGCGGGCCTCTGAGATCTTGGCAAGCTGGAGATCAGCTATCACAGCAACTTTGGGGCAAACTTAGTTAACTTAGTGCTCAGTTTTAGTGCGAAAAGTTCCAAGGCTAAAGTTTCTTCATTAAACTACTCACCTTGCGTCTTTTTACTTGCTTGTTGGTTGATGTAGTAATTGGTTATAAAAAAACAAGTTTTCACTTTTGGAATCCTGGTCTGACTAAAGATAGAAAGATTGCTCTAACTTTGAGTGAGTATAGTTGTCCTGGTATTTTATAATCAGTGACTCAGTATTTCTAGAGATTTCCCCCACTATAGAAAGAAAAACTTGTTCTGAATTGTACCAAGAGTTTAACAACAACAACAACCCTCTCCCCCAAAGAAACTGCATACTAATTTTTAGAGTTTATAACAAATAGTCAACAACATAGGAGTTCTTAAATTGAAGGGAAAAGTAGCAAAGAAAGTAAAAAAAGTAGAAAACTGACTTTGGTATTTTGGTAGGCTAGTAGACTTTTCCTAAGTCAGTTTGTTAAACTACTAACTAATACGCTTTTAAGAAAAAACTCCTGGAGTGTGGGGTGAAAACACTAGTATATTTATGGAACAAATCCTTTCATGCCTGAATCTTTTTTTTCAAATCTCACATTTGTCATTTTTGTTAGAAGAGGGACTTTTAAAAACCTCCTCCTTATTAATATTATCAGGGAATTTATATGGAGAGCCTATCAGTTACATGCTGGCCATTACCTATGAAACAGGCATTCTTTGATTCATTATTTAGTAAGCACTTATGCCCAGGAGGTACTGGGAGATTTGCCCTCAAAGAGCTGATACGGTGTTATGAGACCTATTAGTGATTTATGAAACTCACGCCATAACGGAATGATTTTCTTTTGTTTTTCAGTATGTGGTGTTTTGTTGGAAATAGCTATTTTTGGAAAAGTATAATTTTAGAGACCTGGGTTTTAGCATAGTTCATGACCACTAATTTTATTTAGATTTGTACCTCTAGAGTTAGGTTTTATTTAGGTCCCTGAAACTTTGTGGAAAATACTTTGTAAACTATTATGTAAATGTGAGCTATTATTAATTTAAAACAATTTTAACTTAGTCTAAACTATCTTTTAGTATACAAAATTGACAAGTTTAATTGTTGTAATTATTTAAAAAGTTAGGAAATGGATGTTACTTGGGACCTCAAGTCAGGTCAACGAGCATGTATTACACTTACTACGTGCCAGACACTGTGTTAAGTGTTGGGACGACAAAGAAAGGCAGTACCTGCCCTCAAAGGGCTTACATTCTAACAGGGGAAACAACATGCCAACAACCTTGGTTAAAGACCAGCTAACATCTGTATTGAGAGCCTGAGTGACTGGGGAGATGGTGATACCTTCATTAATAATAAGGGAGTTCTGAAGGGAGAGGATTTTGGCGGCAAAATGGTGATTTCTGTTTTGGACATTTTGAGTTTAAGATGTCTATGGTGTATGCACCTCCTTTGAGACATTTAGTAAGCAGTTGGTGATGTGAGACTGGAGGTCAGGAATTAGGTAAGGGCTGGATTTGATCTCACTTACAAAGTAGAAGACCTTAATCAGTTCCTTTAAATGAATTACAAGATCATTGATTCATAGTTGGAAGGAGCATTAGTGAATTAGGGCTTCTCACTGCAGCAATGGGAATGAGGACTCTCTGAGTATGAAGAGTTACAAAGGGGCAGCTCGGTGGTGCAGTGGATAGAGCACTGGCCCTGGTTCAAATCCAGCCTCAGACATATAACACTCACTAGCTGTGTGACTTTGGGCAAGTCACTTAACCCCCAATTGCCTTACATTAAAAAAAAAAAAGAATAACAGGAATTAAAAAATAAATGAGGAGACTCAATTAGTTTCTTCTACTCATTTCAATTCCTTTTCCAACTGAGTAATTATGTGGTAGGCCAGCATCTTCACATGGAAGCCCATGCATTTGACTTGTGTCCAAAAGAGATTTATTAAAGGATAGTCCTTACAGCTGATGGGATATAGGAGTGCCATACTGGGGGTCTTCAAATCTCTGTCCAGATTGAGGTGATGTTGTGACAATTCCTCAGAATGGAGTGTTGGTATGGCTGCTCCAAAGACACCTTCATAGCCTTTCCTTTTTGGATAGGAAAAGTCCCATCTCTGACATCTGTTGAGTTACTCCCTTCTTTTGGGAGTTCCACGGTGATAACTGATTGGGAGCGAGGTACTATCTGTCACTTCTATTTCCAGATACACCCACTGGGATCTTTTGAGTTGAAGGAAGTAAGTGTGAGTATGTTGTGCTTTATACCAGGTTGTCAAACCAAAGAAATGTGGAGGCCCTGGTCTGTGATGGCAGGGCTGTTTGGGTTGAGATACACACTTACCTATGAAGATTTGGGAAAGAGGGTGCCTTCTTGGCTGGTTTTAGGGGTGCAAACTGAAGAAAGCAAGAAACAACCCAGTGTACTGGCTGGCTTCAGTGACTGAGTGCTGAGGTGGTGGCCTGGCACCATTTGCAGAGAGGATCAAAGACTTTAGGAAGATGCTTTTAGATTTTTTCTTTGCAATTCTCCATATGAATGCTAACTCCAGTCCTATAGGGGATGGGGGGGAGGTTGAACTTTTGATTTCACTGGGTTAGTGAATTCTCAGATTAAGAAGCTCCTTTTATCAAATGCAGAAGTCTGCATTACTTTCTCTGCAAGTAATAGTCTTACTAAGTCCGGAGGCCATGAGTTGTTCAGGGTCACATAGCCAGACCAGTGTGTGTCAGAGACAGGACTCAAACTCAGGTGGTCTTTGCTCCAGCTCTCTATCCAATACACTAATATTGCATCTTTTCCTTTAGGAAAATAAGCTTTTGAGAATAAACTTTAAGCATCTTGCTGTTAAGTCATTTTTCAGTCACGTCTGACTGTCCTGACCCCATTTGGGCATTTTCTTGGCAGAGATATTGGAGGGGTTTGCCATTTCCCTTTCCAGCCCATTTTACAGATGAGGAAACTGAGGCAAACAGGGATAAGTGACTTGCCCAGGGTCACACAGCTAATAAGTGT